GAAATTGTTCAGTTCATTATGATTATAAGCTGATTATTTTCACATCCATCTTGTCTTTCTTGAAACGTTTATGTTATTTGAGTGGTTGAAACTTTAAGTTATCTTATAGATGACAATAGTAGAAAGGAAACATGATAATGTTTGGAAGGGAATATCAATTCAATTTATTAGTTACTGCTGACCTCGTAAAACGGATCTTCCACGTGACCAATAGGGAGCAACTTCACATGTATTCCTACATGCACACGGCACAAATGGTTAGAAGTATATGGCCGAAGAGCCTGGCCTTTGCAAGGTAAAGTAACTTCATAACTCAAGTATATATATTCTCCTCCCTCTTTATGATAAAAGATCCGGCAGTTGTTGCCACCAAAATACGATAGTCTACCATCGACTAACTTGATCATCAGAGTGTATGTGGTCGCTACCATTCTCACTAGGAATGGCCATATACTTCTGACCGTTTGTGTCATGTGCATACAAGTGGAGTTGCTCTCTGTTGGCCAAGTGGAAAGTCCGTTTTACGAGGTCAACAGTTATCATTATTTGAAAATCGAAAGTATGCATTTTCATGTTATTCAACGTAAGACGTGATTGTTGACATTGTTTTTTGGTTCGACGTTGTAAATAGATTCCAACTCCTTTCACGTCTAAGCTTAAGACTCCTGCATATTTGAACAAATCGTAGAAGTACGTTACCTTCTCCGACAGTGGGTAAGGTGATCGCAAGCACTCCAACAGTTAAGTCAGTCAACTCATATATTTTATTGTGTATGAACAGAAGATGTGAGCCATAAGTATGCGTACAGGCACCAGGTTTTAAAGAGGAAACAAAATGAGAGTCAAGTTACAAGTTGAGATCGTAAAGTAGCATTACCTTCAAAAGAGATTAGTATGGCTTTTATAGTAGAAGAGATGAAGTGGTTATGAATGAAAGACGCGCAAACCCCATTTTAATGTCGACATGACATCCTCCATGTATCAGTTCTGCAGTCCTAGCTTCAAAGGACATTTAATAATTCTAAAAAGCGAACACTCTATTGCCAAAGTTTGACATTTGAAAAGTAGATTAACAAGTTAACTGTGAGACATCTATTACATAGAGATTACATCAATCAAATGCTTAAGATTTTGTACGAGAGATCTCCTAGAAGAGGATCTTGTACAAAAGATCTCTTGAAAGAGGTAAAGAATTTGTGGATTTGAAGGCTATCGCTTCGATAATAGGCTGTAACATGTCATGGCATGCTTCACCTGTGTCATGGATGTTACCTCAATGAGGTGATAACACTATTTCGACTAACTCTATTTAATGGTCTCGATTAGGTCAGGTAAGTCGGTGACATGGAGTGCCTGAGTTTACTACTTGTGATCAGTGATTGGATCCTCATAAGATGAGGTATAACAATGATAATAACCTAAATCTATTTTAAATGTATTTAGACTTTCCTTGGGGCCCATTGCTCCCTTCTAGATATTACTTGTATAAAAATAACTAAATTTAATAATTTCGAAAAATCTTCTTATTTTGTTTTACTCTTCTCCATAATTGATAAACTACTATTGTAAAAATGTTCATTAATTTCACCAGTATCTCTACATTGTTAATTCTAACAACTTTGACTAGAAAATATAAAAAAAACTATTGCCTAGATGCACCAAAGCACTTGCCGTAAATATTGCATTGCTTTAACATTTGATTAAAAAAAAAAAAAAGACACACACGCACACATTGAAATAAAAACAAACGGCCGAAGCGTGACGTTTGTTTGATGTATTAGCCTTTTTTGTTTTGATTATGCAAAGAAGTAAGTAATTGATTTCAAAACAAACAAAACACAAAGAATAAACAATTTTCTTGGAAGATCTTGAATATCTTAGAGCAAATGTTTAGTGCTTCATTTAATAGTCAAATATATTAAAATTTATTGGGCACGTCGAATTAGACCACACAAAAATTAAGCTTCTGTTCGTTGCACGTCTTATCAAAAATGAGAATGAGAATTCCTACCGTGGGCACATTTCTTACAGAAAAATGTGAGATGAGAGTCAAAGCATTTATGGCAATTGGGCTCTAGAAATGACTATATTTTTTCGAAAATGGAGGAAAAAATGTGCAACAAACATGGGCTAAGTATCTAATTAAAGTAATCATATTATCTGCAGAGCATTTTTTAATTTTTCATACAAAATAATATTATTTGTATCTTCTTAATTTAAAACCTGATGATATAATTCAGAGCGAGGGGACCAAGAGGTGAGTTTTTAAATGTTTATTAATTTTAAAATAAAATAGTTGAGAGAAAAAAGAAAATCTTGTGAACAAATTATTTCAGTGGCAGATAAAACTGATAAACATTGACTGGTAAGAGAAGGGTTGATTTATTATATTATTACAAATACTACTTCACATGACATTGAATTTTCTATAGACAAGTGTACCAATATATTTTACCCCAATCACATGGATCAATTCATAGTTTTTAAATATAATTCAAAGTAGGATTGCATTAAGAATTTATTAAACATTAATAAGATAGACATTGTTTGAACAAATCTAAGATAAATTTCCCACCATCATCAGTATAACTACTTATACTTTTATTAAATATAAAATTGAAAAGACTAAATATAGAACCAAGAGTAAAAGTCTTCGAACATGTTGACTATGTTTAAATGTTACATTTAATAAGTAACTTATTTTTATTTTATTCTTTTTTTTAGTCTGTGCTTTTTCATAAGTTGCTTACATTTTCAATTTATTTTATTTTCAAAAATAGAGCGTTTACCCTTATTAAGCTTAGCCGAACATACTCGTATGTGTCAACTTGAGCAACTCATGTTTTCGTGCTCTAATATGGTTGTCACTACCATGTTCAAATGGAAGAACTTTAACGCGTGAGATCATAATTTTTTTGTAATTAGTCACTCATTTATGATACAGGCAAACCTTATTGACTCTAACTAGAATTAATTGTCTAATAAACTAATAAATTGATTCGATTGATAATTTATTTATTATTTTCTTTTTTCTCAATAGAAAAAGCATATCATATTTTTAATTGTGGTAGAGAAGCCACCCCTAACAACTGGAGAGAAGAATACTAAAAAAGAAAAATTTTAAATAACTTGTTTTACTTTTAAATTTATTACATTAAAAAATGTATTAGGTAACTCAGTTACATAATTAGAAAACAACTAAAAACGTTAAAAAATTTAATCAAGGCCCCACTTACTAGCCCACCAAGGGAGAACTATAATTTCATTCTATCTCAAATCATTTAAATCACATTATGCTAAGAAAAAATATAATAAAACAAAATTTTACGTAGGTGTGGAAAGTGGAGGCAACCACCCGTCGGCTTGACTCCGCCCCAGTGGTTCACGTAAAAGAGACGTTCTTCGACTTGCACGAGCTGGCTCGTAAACGAGTTGAGTGGCGTGAAAGGTGGCCTAGGCGAGCCTAGTAGATAAAAATCTCCATGCATGGTTTTCAGCCTTGTATTTGGAAAATTAATTAATGGTAGATACCATGGCATCTGTCATTTCTTTTCTTAGGGGAACATACGGTTTAATTTGGACGATGTATAACAAATTTTCATTCAATTCAAACCACTTAAAGTGGTTTGAAATGTTTCCAAACAAAACGTTGGATAATTATGTGGCTTCACAAGTACACAGATTGTAATAAATAATAAAGTGGTTGTCTAAGTTCAAATGTCGTCCCACGGGAAATAATTATTTATTGTTAAATTTTATCCTAAATTTAGCTTCAATCTCAATTAATGTGGCGACCTATTAACAATTCAAGAATTTATATTATAACAAAAGCTAAACTAAATTATTTTAATTTAATCTATGCTCACTTTTGTGAAGATTTATGAATGCACCTAGCTCAATTAACATTGATTCAATTCAACATCATTCAACGCATTTTTCATAGGTATTAATGATCGAATTAACCAATTAAAATTAATAGTCTTTCTCAACCAAAACTAATCATATTCACATGTTCAAATTTATTATATCATTGCGTAAATTTATATACATATAAATGTATTAATTAGCAAAAATTCAGTCAATTGCATAGACTATAAGTGTATCTCTCGATCCCTTATCGAAATATAACTTATTGCATGAATAAAAATATTTTTTCTCGATATCAATACTGTCCCTCATTCAAAAGGGGGAAAAAATTTGTTGTATAAATAATTGAGTGTCAACTAAACACACAATAAACAATTAATACTTAAAAACAAAGTTGTATGAAATCTTTCGAATTAAATCAATATTAAATCTAAGAGTATGTTTGATTGCAAGTATGAAATTCATATGAAAAAAAAAAAATTTCAGGTAATTGAATTGTCTAAAAATTATTTACATAAAAATTATCAATTAAATATGTTTGATTCATTTTATTTTCAACTCACGTATGTTATACTTGTTCATTTTCATTTGTAGGTAGATGGGAGAGAAAGAAGGAGTGAAATACTAGGAAAATAAAAACCTGCGCCCGCCAGAGAAAATAATTTCTTTGTTTTCAAGGAAAATATAATCACGTAACCAAAAATAGAAAAATAAAAACCTGCCCCTGCTAGAGAAAATAATTTCCTTGTTTTCAAAGAAAATATGGTCACGTAACCAGCGGTACGGAAATATTTTTCATAAAAAAATATAAATCAAACAGCACAAAAATAAGAATTTGAAAGAAAAATGATATTTTTCATAAAAATATTGACAGTCAAACGCACTTTAAGTTACATTATTCATCCTAACATTCAATTATCTAGCTAATCATAATTAAGGAATTGAACAATAAAATGTTTAAAATTTAGAAGTATCTGAAAAATAAAATTAAATGCTCCATTTTATTGATCATTTTAATCAAGGGTCTACTATTGGTCAAGTCTATTTGTGCTAAAAAAAATTACAAAACGAGCCGTCAGATCAGAATTTTCCTCTATACCATTCCATACTCGTCAATCAACACGTATTGGAAGTGAATGAAATCAAGGACAAATAATCTTGTGGCCTCCACAATAGACCACATCAAACAGTACAAATTCCAACCGAGAAAACTCGATCGACCGCAAAAGATAATTCCGGCTAGCTCCAAAGTCAGTCAGTCAGAACATATTAACCAATCACGAGCTGTTAGAATATCGTAATTCTTCGATAGGTCCATTTCTTGATTCGAACAAAATAATACACATAAGATTACATTATTTAGTTTATGGTACACGAATTTCGTCATAAATAACACGCAGGCCTTCAAGAAAAAGCATGCTTCCTAGTGTACACTGCAATCCTTTAATGACTTTTAGCTCAGGAATCTCTCCCGTGTTCATCAAGAAATTGCAACAGTGAAAGCTAGCTAGCCATTACCTGATTCATGGTCGTAAAATTTTAAATAAAATTGAGAAAAAAATAAAATGACACCCCGAAAAGATACATCGCTGTCAAAAAGGAACAAAAACAGGACATGCAAATAGAGTTCTACATAAAATGCCCACCTTGTCTTTTCAAACTCGTTTTATTTATGATCCGACTTGTCCTCGTCAATATCCTCATCGTCCTTCATGTACTTCTCCTGCACTGCAGCAACTGTGAATTGCTATTTCAAGGAAAAACAATCATCAACTGGAGAAATAACTCTGAAATATATCATTACTAGCTTAATCCAAATGGCTAGATTGGACAAGAAGAATCAATTCTAGAGAAAAAGAAATCTGATATATATATATATATATACACACACACACTAATACTAGCTTCATCCAAGTGGGCCATCTGGAAAAAAATAAAAATCAAGTAGGTATATCAATCGGCCAAAAGCACAAATCTCTCTCTCTCTCTCTCTCTCACACACACACGCGCGCGCGCGTGCACACACGCACACACACACATATATATATGAAATGTAACATTAAAGAAGCATAACATATTGGTCCTTAATAAATCAGAGATCAATTACTCGTCAGGCTCCTCCACATAATCCATCAACTAAAAGCACTTGATTGCCAGAAACTTGTGTTAGGCTAGCTGTTCATTCTTCCAACAATTGCTAATTTAAGCTTGACGCAGAACTGTTCCAAAAGTACAAGGTCAAGCATTTTATAAACTACATGTCTAATCATGAATTGGGAATTACCAAATGCAGCCACATAAGTTTTAGAAGGTTTGAGAAAATGAAAGTGAAATGTGCGATCAAACAACAAAAAGAATGTGAAGACTATTAAATAAACGAGTAAATAGTTGCACGATAAGACATCCACACAGAAGGATATCTATAGTAATCCCAATCCACTGGACCGACTGCAATTTTGCTGAACTCAATTGCACTTGCATCCATACCAGCAAATATATACCCATTGCTCTTGTCAATTAGTTTAACTAGATTGCCAACACTTTCTTTATCCTGAAAAACCAAGTACGACTCAGAACTGTAGGATAGATAGTTAGCATATACTTGTTAACACCACGCATAGATTTGAAGATGCCTGAATATCTAAAGTCGTGAAGTTGACGAGACCGTAATCTTCGATCACCTCGCACAGCTCCTTTGTAAGCTTTCTGCACCAAGAAAAAGGTAAATATTACCTAGAAAGTAGCAAATTCAAGGATGGGCAGATTATCATGAAAGACCTTAACATGGGAACAGAGAAGAAAAGGAAACTGCTATTGGGGAAGAGAAGGGGTGGGGGTGGAAGATGGTGGAATTCATGTATAATTAATCCTTGCCCCTTTAGATTCTAATCTCATTAATTAAGTAGATGATACAAGATGCACTAGCGTCCTAATTTAGTCCAACAAATTCATGTCAAATTCACTCCAAGAAGTACATGAAATGAAAACCAAGATATCTGAAACGGTCCTGCACTATACTAGATAACACAGAGGAACTTCAACGTCAAACTCCACGTCTTATTATTGTGGTAGAACAAATTCATGGCATATAAAGTAAATATCACTTAAATGTGTCATCAAGGAGATTTGTAGTCTGTATACATTGTGTGGCTACAAACTTTAATTACAGATATCGACTCTCAAATAGCTTAAGCTTTTTGATGAAATGGTTTAACAAGGTATCACATCATTTAAAGGCCCTAAATTACGTGCTCTTTTGTTAAGGCCTTAAAACCTACAAAGAGGGGCTTCTGCAACATATGGGCTGAATTGGAATCACAAGTGGCACTGAAATGCATTTTATATGATGGTGGCCCTTCGGGTATTGAATATGCACAAACATATCCAAAGATTGGTTGCTCAGCTGATTGTTACGTTTTCCCGTATTCTGTGTGAAGGCAATTGTGTGGTATATTTGTTTGCTTCCTCATAAGGTTCTTTTCCTGTAGATGTCCAATTGATCCCGTCTTATGATGTTATGCAAAAATGTTTGGACTTCTTGTGCTTCTTTCTTTTCGATGATTATTTTAAGCTGTCCTTGTTTTTGTATTGGACTAGTAAAGGCTAAGTAGTGGACATATTTTTTCCCTTGAAGTCAGTCTTGTAATTTTGTTGGAGGACAAGACTAGTCCCTCCCCCCCCAACCAAAAAAAAAAAAACTTCATTCTTTTCTTTCAGATTTAATATCTTGTTCATGGTTTGAGAAAATGTTTTGTCAATAAAGTCCATGAAAATTGTGTCCGATATTTTTATGAGAAATCAATCAAACAAATATTTGACATGTTAAAAACAAATCTTATAACATGTTTGGGACAGATTTTTCCAAGTGAAAATTGATCCCACATAATGTGCAGTTGAAAATAATTTTAGGAAAAAATGATTTTCCAAAACTCTCCTAAACAAGCTCTAAAGTCTCTTGACATTTTTAACTTTTATTGAGGTGAAAAGATTCAAAAATTCAAAGCCCAAGACAAATGGTTTTCATTGAAGAGTAAAGAACAAAGAAGAATACCATACTCTAATCAAACTTTTGGCTCTCTTGTGGTTCTTAATTAGGCTCAAGGTCTTTACTTAGCTCATAATTTAAAACTGCAGCTTCAAATCCTAGTGAACTATCCAAAACTCGTGACTTAAAAGTCACGAATTCATTGGGTATTGGTCTGAATTATTGGGATTTGGATTATGAAGGTTTATTGGATCCTCTTGGTAGCATGCTTACATTAATGGTAGTATGGTATTTTACATGACCTGACTCACAAAAGAACTTTGAAAATTAGCAACTAGTTCAACAAACAGTGGGAAAACTATTTAAATCTCTAGGGATATGTGCTTCCATACAGAGAGGGGAGGCTAGCACACCGACATAATCAATCTGCGTGAGTTTAATTGGGGTTATTGAACATTTGGCCCGCCCTCATGTGGTTTTTAATTAGGTTTACGATCTTTAAATAGCTCATAGTTTTAAAATGTAGTTTCAAATCTAATGAATTGGCCCAAAACTAGTCACTTGGCTAGTCACAAGTTGATTGGATCCTGGTTTAAATTATTGGAACTTGTATTATGAAGGTCCATTAAATCCCGTGGGTAGCACCATCACTAAGGTAGTATGGTATCTTACATGACCAGAGTTGCAACAGAATTTGAAGACTAGGGCAACTAGGGCAACACATTGGAGGAAGCTATTTAAGACTATAGGGAAGTGTGCTTTCATACAGAGGAGAGTGTAGGCTATCACACAAACAACCAATTTGCATGAGTACTCATTAAGGCCTTTTTCCTTCATGAGATGAGGAAGCCATACCGTAAACCAAAAAAATATCAAAAGATTATAAACATGTAAAATAAGTTATAATAAATCAGAAAAATCTTCAAATTTTATAATATATCAATTTAAAGTGTGTAAACAAAAAATAAAAAATAAAAAAATAAAATCTATAAGGTAAAAAAATTATTATTTTAGTTGGTGGGGGGCAGCGGATTATTCCTCAAATAGGTCTATGACAAACATGATTTTTTAATGTTTTAAAGGTAGTGAGCTAATACAAAGTGAGTCAACCAGAATATTTATGTTTTGTCAGTCACATTCGAAGCAAATTAACTAAGTCTACACAATTAAGGAGCATGGGCCTCACAAACCTTGAGGCAGTGCTGTAAGGCCTGTGCCTCACATAAATGAGGTGTATGCTCCAAAAACTACTTCATAATAAGTGTCATGAGGTTTTTTTGCTCTTCTCATTCTTAAGCGAGCCTCAATTCCGACCTGTATAGGGATTTTAAAACTATAAGTCCTATTCAAGTATAAAAACACCTTTGATCTAGATTATTACTTTATTCCAATCTAAGAAAGATGCTCATCCATGTGTCGCCATCTTGGAAGTGATATGAGAATATTGAGTGGTTGGAAGGAGCACGCTACAAGAAATGTAAAGAGAGATCTCGCCATGATTGGATAACTTCCTCTTCCCGTCACGTATTAGATTGGATTATAGTAACATGAGTTGATTAGCTTGGTTATAAATAAAAGCATTTTCTTTAAAGCAGAACTTCCTTGTTTGTTCTATGCTTTTGGGTTCCAAAACCAATATTAGCAGCATGCTAGCATGGCATCACCAGCACAACTCCTATACTTTCATAGTCTTCCTAAATATCATAAAAACTTTCTTTCATTACGCCATAATCTCTTGGCAAATCAATTTACTATCTCTTTCTCAAATTTAGCAATTATAAATGATACCATGCACCAATCAGGAGAACATTTTTGTTCCTACCAGTCCCTTGGTAGAACTACATGATCCACATGATTTACCATTACAAAGACTGCCCAATGTAGCAATGTGTAACATAATATCATCTAAGTAACAAACATTTCCATCTAAACAATAATTCAAGGAGATGAAAATAGTATTCTCCAGTACAACCAAAATTCTTTGATAATTATTGTGGCTTTGTAAAAGAATCAGATAGAATTCATACCTATACCTAGCAGAACGAGGATCCTGATCAAGATGGTGCTGTAAATAAGATAAATCTTGCACATCTGTGTAAAAGTCGAGGTTGAAAGCTGCAAAACAGGCAATGAATGAGATCAAAAAGTACCAAATTTTCAATATCAAAATATGAGCATTTTAAGCAAAAAAAGGATGAGCTAACCAAGCTTCCCATAGTTTTCAATAAGATCAATCTTAGACAAAACATTGACATGAGGAAGTTCCAAGTGTAGCATGGTTGACAAAGAAAGAAGCAATGCGCTAACATACTTCCCAGGATCACTGCAAAGATGGGCGTCAACTAAGTGCACTGCAGTCAACTGCAAAAAGCGGAGAAATTCTGTTGAGAGACTGATAATAGAGATAAATTTACATTCCCAACAAAACTTCCTGGTTGAGTTTCATGGCGAAGAAACAAATTGATCATTTCAAAGAAAAAACTCATACCCTGAGATTTAACTTCTTTATGAGTTTCATAATAACTCTTTTTGCACTTTCATGAAGGAAAAAGAGTTCGACTTGGCCAGGGAAATCAAATAGTAGATAGTGATCTGCAAAATAACGTCCATTTTGAGATGCTATAATAAAAAAATAAAAAAATTGTTACATTGGCTGAGAACTAAAAACTAAATTACTGAGAATATAGATAGCGCATTCAGGCATGACATCTAACAGCATATGGAGTTCACAGAGAGCCAAATGAGCAAAGAAATAATATGGATTTCAGATGGACATGTATACTATAACAAAAAATGCTTTAGTTTCTGCACTCTTCAACATTTAATGCAGTAGTGTACTAAAAAAAACTGTCTACCTTTGGCATCGTATATGCAGATTGCGTAAGCTAATGGTTCCTGTGTGGATTTTGAAAGACATGTTCAAAAACTATATCAGGTCAATTATCAGTAACAATAGATCATTCAAGGAAGCATATTTTGTCAATTCTAGCAATTTTTTCAGTTTTATCTTGGTAAACATTATATCAGGTAATTATCGGTAGAATGTTAATTCTTTTCCTACTCTCGAATGAACCGTTCGCTTGCAAAATTTACTTTTGATCGGGCGAAGTGTGAATAAACAAAAGGATGGTTAACCTGGTGCTGGATTTTTATAGAATATACTGGTATAATGCCGTTGGGCCAAATCCTACCAAAACTAGATTTAATATTGTCCAAATACTATCAAACTCAGCAAATTTTAGCCAAGGCCTGAGCTCATCTAATACCCATAATCTGTTGTTGGAAGACATGAGGAACATAGGGATCCTCAGGAACTCTTCCAAGTTTCACCCAGCTTGTATCTTGTAATTGAAACCATCCTTGTATCACTCAATACACTCAAGACTGAATTATTGAAATGAAAAACTACAGAGTTTTGAAAACATCAGTTTTCTACTTTTTTGACTAATAATTTAAGAAGAGATAATGTAACAATTCAAGAATTGAAAAAGAAAAATTGCATCTTCTAGGATAAAAAGGTATTCCTAGTATATCCTTTTCTTAGAATAATTCTATTTTTTATTTAAAACTTTTTCTTTTCTATGAAAAAGAATGTTACCAAGAAGCAAACAATACAACCTTAAATGCACAAAGAGAACTGGTGCGAAATCCCAAATGCTTCTTTGTGTTTGGGGGTATTTGCAACTTCTGCCATTAGATGAGTGAGTGCGCTGTATAACAAGACATTGTTTATTAAGTGCATTGGTTCTCTACCTTTCCTTCGTAACTAATTATTGGTCGAAAATACACAGAACATGTACCAAAAATATAATAAAAAAAATAAAAATAAAAATTAACAAAAATTAGATGCAGTAACAACCTTTGAGCAGGGGTTTCAATTTGGATTCTAACCAGTCAATATTTCTCTCCAGATAATCCATGCAATACACGAGACCTGTAAGACGTTATAAAACATCCTTCAGAACAACGAATCACCTTACTTGGCACAACCTCATAAATTATCAAAATAGTAGTAAGGGATATTGATTATACAGAAATCCTGAAAATGTATAGTATTTGAAAATGTAAAATAATATATTGAAAATCAAAAAGATACACTCAACAGTCGTTACCTCCATTGGGACCAAGGGAATGCTCAGCCATTACATCGCTGAGTTTAATGAGATCCTCAATATTTATAGCACATTCATATCTTTATAACATAAGGAAATAACTTAAACACAGCACAGATAACAATTTAATTAAGTTGAAAACAATAATCACAAATTGGATACGGCAAAGCATCATTGGCGGGATCCAAATTAATAACTGTAACTTTCCTGCACTCAGGTAAAATATCAAAAATTACAATAGGATTATTGAGAAAATACATAAAATTGTGAAAGAGTTAGTCTTACCGTCCGATGAGTTGGAGGAATTGGGACATGCCGTTGCAGTAAGTAGTCTTGCCGGAGCCCGGCGGCCCTATCACAACCTGACCGAAAACCATAATCTTTTTCGCTTTTTAGGGATTTTCCGAGATTTGTAATGATTTCAGCTAATTTTCAATAGGAATTACAAGAAAAATTTACGGAATAGGATACAGCCAGCAAAACTCTTAAACCCCTTAGAACCTCAAAGAAACAAATAAAGGGCTTTGCTTTCAGAATAAAAAATATAAACAGGGGAATTGGGAAAAACGAGGAATTGGTGGAAATTTAAATATTTGGGGCATTCCGAGAATCGAACTCGGGACCTCTCGCACCCAAAGCGAGAATCATACCACTAGACCAAATGCCCTTTAGATTTTACAGTTTTACTTTTCAATTTTGATATACTATTTAAAAAATTTCCCATTTTTATCTATTTGTAATTTAATATAATATAATCTACACTTTTAATTTAGCAACCTGACTTTTTATCTAACCAATGATCCTTTTTTAACTTTTCCCTCTTAAATATTTTCACTTCTGTCCATTTATAATTTAAGCCCTTGTTTGGGCTCTACTAAAATCAAATTTTAGGAAAAATGTATTTTTTGGGAAAATGTGTGGTTAAAAAATAATGAAAGTTTTCGAATTGATGTGTAATATTATTTTATATAAAAAAATATAATTGAAAATAAAAAAGAGAAAAATGTATTTTAAATAAAATGAAGTCCAAACAAGGACCAAATCTTTTATGAACATGAACCAAACATAGCTATATTTCTGTCATCGCAATACTCTCAACAACTATTAATGTAAACATCCAATTATTCTTGACAACTCAACACATTATTGAAATGTCTATATATTTTTGACATGTTTTGTAGATTAACATAAATATTACAACATTAATATTTTATATAATTTTCGAGTCAATTGTTCCAATGGTCATTGAACTTAGGTCTATGTTTTTAGTTAGTCACTGAAATATAAAATGTCAAGTTTTGGTCACTGAACTTAAGTCCATGTATTCGATTGCTTATTGAAATTTAAAATGTCAAGTTTTAACCACTAAACTTTAAAAAATATTGTACATTACTCACCAAAAATTTAATATTTTTCAAAATTCAGAATTTATTCTAGTGAGTAACGTACCACATTTTTCAAAATTCAGTGATCAAAAATCGACATTTTAAATTTAAGTGAGCAATCGAAGATATGGACCTAAATTCAGTGACCAAAATTAGACATTTTAAATTTCAGTGACAAATCAAAGATATGAGCCTAAGTTCAGTTACCATTGGAATAATTAATTCATAATTTTCTATCTATCATCTAAGTCATAGTAGATTTTGATTTTAAAAATAGTAGATATAGCAGTTCATTTAAAATGAATTAATGACCATATAAATTTTAATTTAAATTAAGAACCTTTATATTAAAGGGTTCTGTGGCAATATGTCTTCAACATTTGAGCAAGTGGCAGACCAGTTTTCAACCATTTTTTCATTGCAATTTTGTCCTCAATATTTTATTAATTAGTAATATTCGTTCTTTCCATCCAATTTGACTGTTAATATTGCATAAAATGCCAAATTCGATCGTTAAACGAATAGAGAATAAAAGAAAGCAAAAAAAAAAAGCCTAAAAAGGAAAAAGAAAGAAATAAATTTAAGCCACTATTTGGTGGGGGCTAAATTTAGATTATTCATAGATTTTGATAAAAATTGATGAAATGTATGATCAAAAAATTGTAAATTTCATGAATATGTGGTTAAAATCAATCATTGATTTTGATCTCCGTTAAAAATCTAAATTTTAGTTTCCACCAAACATGGGTTAACTAACCAAAAGACCAATAAAAGAGAGATGGCCGAAAAGACCCAAACACATACATTTTATGTAAGTGTCATGTCTTAAGTACAATCAACTTTGAACATAAGCACTTTCAATATATAATTGATGTAATTTTATGACAAATCTATTATTTAATTAATATTTAATTAAATTAAATAATAGAGTCCGTTGCTTCAAATCTTAGTAATTTGTTAGTTACAAAGAATTGTGATTGTGAAATACAAATTACATATGGTTGAATCATAAATCATTTGTGATCGTAAGTAATGATAAGATACAAATATCGTTATTATAGATAGACCATCACGTGTATCATTTCTTACTTGTGAAGTAAGTAGCTGATCTCACAAGTTAAAGTGTGGTGACATTTAAATGAACACGTGGATGTTAAACATTGGAGATCTGTTGGGAGGTTTCACATGAATAACTATCTGAGTGTCAGTAATTAATCTCTAACATTTGGTAGTGGAATTGGTCCTTTGACTTAAAGTTATCAGAATGCCTTATATGAGAACAGTCATGATTTGTTGAAGTTGGATGTTGCTCTGTCAAGGGTCACTAATACTGTATCGTTTGGGTATGTCAAGAATCATATGAAGGTTGTGAATGACCAATAGATGATAGATAGTAAGATATTATGATCTATATTTTATTCAGTTAAGTTGATAATAAAATTCTTGACCAAGATGTACTCATAAATCGAAAATGAGTTTTTGACTTATATTGATATAATAGTGGAATAAAAGATATGATCGATAATCGAGACTGACAACTTCCAAATCTCATAATTAATCAGATTATATTGATGAAGAGATTATAATTTCACGATAAATGAACAAGTTTGATTTTGTCATACCACGTGACATTTTTTCGTCACATGTATTGTCTTGACACATTAGTAGATGTCAATTTGGGACAACAAATGTAAATTAGTGATAAATTAAAAAGAAGTATTTTAATTTATCGATTTGATTAGATCAAAATAATAATTTGCATCGTTACGTATTGTGATTGGGACAAACCTAATGGATCACACACAAAATGAAAACTAGAAGAATGAGATTTACCAATTAGTTAATTGATAAGTGTTGGATAATTAATTAACTGATTGTATATTAATATGCCCGAATTAATTAATTGGATTAATTAATTCATGAACGAAATTTAATTAATTGGATTGATTACATATTGGACCGAATTAAATTATGAGACTGGCCAAGCTCATTTGGATTTATATAAATAAGCTGCTAGGGTTTGAAAAAATAGTAGAGAAATTTCATATTCTTACTAGTACAAGAAAAGTAAAAACGCTGGTTCTCTTAATCTTGTTTTCTATGTAGATTTTCATTGAAAGCTGGACAATTTGACAGCTGTGGACTTCGAATCGTGATTGTTGGAATTCAAGAAAAGCAAAAGAATTTATAGAATTCAACGAATGTTTGTTGGGAATTGAAATATTGTTTAAATTCCCCTATCCATGATTCAGTAAATTGCTAACATCTTCTTTCCTTTACCCTCACAACCTAATGCCTAAGTCCCTGCCACCACAAACGACGAAAAGCCCTCACTATCGATGACTTTACTAAAATCGAAAGCTTCTTCTTTCTTTTTCCGTTAATAAATTCCCTTGCATTTGAACAGAATAGAAAAAGAAATGTGGCAAATGGAATTGTTCCTTTGAAATTTTCAGTCTTCCTTTTTCTTTCTCTTTTCATTTTCAAATCTAGTTTCCATGCTTTTCCCACCTTTTCTTTTTGGTTTGTTGGAAATAATAATGGAACAATACCTTTTTGACTGATCACTTTCCTCTTTTTTCTCAAAAAAAAAAAAAAAAAAAAAGTTTGAACCCCAACCTTGAAGGCCTTCACTGCCCCGTTCCTAGAGTTTTGTAAGGGAGGTAAATCGCGAGTTGTGTCCCAGCAGGCCAGGGAACAAGAGCTGTCTGTACACTGCATCTACAAGGAATCCAATTCCATATTTTAGGAATCGAATCCCCACACTGCGGCTGCCAGCAAGACGTGAGATAACCTCACTCTTGTCCTTTGTACCACTGGGCTATGCCCCGAGGGGCACTTTCCTCTTTTTTCTCTCATACATATAAACAAAGGTTGTTGAGGAAATTGAACGTGTCAGAGTGAGGATGTAGCTAAAACGAAATTGAGAAAAACTTGAAAATTGAATACAATAACTTTACATGGAAAACCTCCATTTAGTTTAGGGGAAAAAGCATGGGCAAGTACAAACTGATTTTACTGTAGTATAAGGATTACAATAACTTCTCTCTAAATACAAAGATAAAATAATAAATAATCTTTATTTAAATAGGAGAACTAAAGTATGATGACAAAAAAATTTGTTCAACTCAATATCTACAGGTCCCATCTTAAATGGGGCGAGATTACTCGTCTAATGGGGTAAATGGGGCAATAACGGGATGGGGTCATTGCCCCAAAGCGATAGAGATGACAATTTGAATCGTTAAAATCGAAAATCGCGGTTAACCGAACCAATGGGGCGAAAAAATTAAACCGATGGTGCAATGGGACATATATGGTATTTGATTTTAATGAACCAATTCGTGGCAGTGCGGGTATGGTATTTACGCTCTTGAACCGAAACCGAACCGATTATCCACTTAAAAAAACCATTCTTTTATTAGGGATGACAAGGTTTAGTAAGAATGAAGTTGACGAAAAAGTACATTTTTTAATTTAAATCTTAGTTAAAATCATTTCGTATTAGGTAGTATCATTGTATTCTCTACTTACATTTCTTATTTACTATATATGAATCAATTTTGAGTGTTAACCTATGTTAGTAAGAATTGTGGGGAAGAATGAAGATTGAATATGACTTAAAGTTGAAACTTTGAACTATTGAGCATGAATCAAGTAACTATAATGCACAAGAATCAAGAATGAAGGAAAAGTTTAGTATTGTTATATTCATAATATTGTTTTTAAATTTGTATTTTGCAATTGGAATTTGGGATAATGTTTGCATTTTCTGTGGAATATTATATTTTTGTTTTCATTGACTCTCTTTTCATAAATTGTTTTTTATTAATTTGACGGATGAACCTATAAAAAATAATTTATTTTCGTGGTTATTAACCGAACCGAATCAAGTTGAACCGAGAATCGAACCGAACCGATTTACATGGTTATGGTGCGGTTATTGTATGACAAAAATTTGACGGTTCGGTGATGATTTTGGCTAAACCAAACTGTTGCCAGCCCTACAAAGCGAGTACAGAAAATATAGCCCCCTCTCTGTCCGTTTTAAAGTTAACTTCAAATTTAAGTTTTTCATTAAACCAAAATAAAATATTTATCATCATTTTTAAAGAGAGAATTAGTTCTTCTTAACAAATTAGAAAAGAAAGTAATAATATTTATTAACTAAAAACATAATAAATAAATAAATAATGAAAACAGAAAATGAATGGGGCGACAAATGGGACAGGGGACCTACCATTCCCCACCTCGAATATGTCCCATCCCGTCGATTTAAACTGGCATGGGGATGGGTAATGTGACTTAAAACATCATTAGTATCGCTCAAAAGACTTAAAACACCCTGCCTCGTTGCCATCCCTAAAGAAGTACTACAGAAAAACTAAAATTACTTTCTATTTTTATTTGTCCATTACTATTTTCTATCTATTATTAGTATAGCTCAAAAGACTTAAAACACTCTAAAATTAGAATTTACTCGTAGATGGGATGCCTTTACATTGCAAAAGACAATACCCTTAATGACGGAGTCGGCACTCAACGAGTCGGCATGGTCGCCCATGCTGGTTCCTTCAAAATTTACAGGTTGGAAACGCAATACCATTCACCAGTTGTCATGAAGGGTAGGGAATGAGATGAAAGGTTTGCCATTTTTTAAAATAGTGGGTCTTTTTTTAGGATTTACAAATATTAGGCCCAAATGCCTGCTACTAAGTTCTATAAGTATTGTATTTGCCGTAATTGAATTCCAAATGCAATACAATTATTCGACAATTGCAAACTATAAAGCAAATCCTATCTATGATTCTCACGTATCTCCATCCGTTGTAGTTGAAACCTGCCACTGACTATGACAGTGATGTGATAGTAAGTGTTAGCCTTCATTTGTTTTTGTTTTTTAGTTCATTTTTATGCCACTTTCATTTAGAACTTGAAGTCTTGAAATGATCTTTTACATGTATTGATCATTTGACTGGTGATTTAATATGTGAATTGTGATGATTTATGATTTATGGAAATTGAAATTTTTTTGAATCTGTGATATGTGATAAATGATAAATGAGGAATTTGTGATTTATGATAAATGACAAATTTGGTATTGGAAATTGAAAATTGATGATAGTTTAAAATTAAGTATAATTTACGTTTAATATGTGATTTGCATTTAATTTTCATACAGATTATGTAATGATTTTTCAACTAAAATGAATGTCTTAACTTAGTTCTTCTAGCGGTACATCTATCCCCAACCTATTGATTTAAATTTGCTCCTTTCATGATGATTATGTCGTAGTTAAGCTCTAAAATAGTCTAGATCATACAAACTTGTTAGTGTTGATTGGTTTAATTATTGCATCTACTATGTTCTCCTTGGTGTGTGCCTTTGACTTGGTTTTGCTTCCATCTTCTCCACCCTTGTACAAAATGATATTTACAAATATGTGTTTTGTCCGGAAATCAAAGGTTTACAATTTGCAAATGTACTTTTGATTGTCACAAATAAATTAATCTTCTCTTGTTCGCGCCCAAATTTCTCCATAAGCCTTTTTTTTTTTTTTTTTATCCACATTGCCTCCTTGCAAGCTTGTGTAGCAACCATGTATTCCGTTTCTATAGTGGACAACTATAGGTTGCAAATTGAAACTCTGCCTAAATCACCTTTCTGGAAATGTAAACTCATTCCTAGTAGTAGATTTTTATTTTATTTTATTTTATTTTATTATTTATTTATTTTTGGGTCAAAACCACCTACAAAACTTGAATCGGCATATCACTTAACAATACAATATAATCCTCCATAACATAATGCGTCATCTAGGTTTCTATAACACATCTCATAACCTTTTAACAATATTCTATATCTCCCTCTACTAGGATTCTTCATGTATTGACTATCCACTTCCATTGCTTGTGCATATATGCAGTCTTACAAATTTCATAGGGAACATTAAGTTTCTCACGACTGATGCATATAGTATTTAAGGCATTTTTAAGGTCTTTATATCTATCACTAACGAAGTTTAACAAGACCACAGCCAGCTGATCTTCTGATAAGTTCTAACCACAGTTAGCAAAGTCCTGGGGTCAATTTTGTAAATTTGTCCAAGTTCTCATCTAAGTCAACAGAAGGATCCATTTTGAAAGAAAAGAATTGTTTTAGTAAAAAGCATTTGTTTGGAATAGTTTTTGGCTCATATTGGGGCTTTCAATTTAGTCCACAACTCTTCAGCAGTTTTAATTGTTTGAAAGGTACAAGAAAATAGTGTTCCATGTTATTTCTTCTAACTCAGTTCTTTTTGCAACAAACATTTCAGCAGGCCAAGTATTATTTAAGGCTTTAGCACATTTTATTTGCATCAAGATAGCCCTCATTTTCTGGCTCCACATATTAAAATCTCCCCTTCCATCATACATGCTCACTTCAAACTTAGCAGTAGCCATGAAAAGATTCACCAAGATAGTTCACAGAACATAGATTTGAGTTTAAGAACACACAGGGACATACAACAAGAATACTATAGGCAGAACAGGGGATTTGGGGTCAGTGACCAATGCACATATATTATTTTCACAAAACAGTAAACACTTAACACTAAGTATAGAAGGTAGAATCACAAAGAACAGAGATGTCAATCCTATGCCTCAACTAACTTCTCCAGCAAGACCTTCCAATTGCACTCCTACTAGTGTTGTTATCTCAGATTCCCAAGACTTCTTGAGTCTTTGGACAAAGACCAGCCACAGTAGAATTTTGTTAGTGCAAGATAAATCAAGGGAAAAATTAGGAGACCCTACTGTAAATATTAATTATAGAATGCATGAAAGATCTCACCAATGAGTTTGATGAAACTCAATTTCCACCAACTAATGATTACTACAGGTTTCAGGAATCAGGTTTAATCAAGAAAACACAAAGCTCCAGTAGTCCAAGTTGCTCTGATACCACTGAAAAGTCGAAAGATACTAATATTAATCAAGATTCCAAAACCACAATTATGAACTGAAAATAAAGTGCAGAAAATAAAATGAACATGGAGAATTTTTCGGTTGAAGCCCCAGAGGTTTGGCGATCACTTCTAACGCCTAATCCCCTGTTGAGCATCCATTAAAATGGATAAAGCTCGGTTGCACTATAAAGTCCCAAAAACAGGTAGCTAGTATTCAATAATGTTCCAAAATATTACAAAGAAATAAGTCATAGAGACTTATCTTATGAAGAACAACAAAATCAGCCTCTATTCCATAAGGGAATCACACTAGATCACAAAAATCTCACCAAGAACATGAACTGACCTCTCTTGAGTTATTCAACATCAAGAACATATTACCCAGCATGTAACATTCCACTTAGGAACACAACAAACTAGCCACTACCGCATATAGGAAGAGGCCGAGATCATTAAGATCTCACAAGAAATCAGGCAAAACTCGAATCCCAAAGATTTGACTTAACTAAAGCTGAAATAGTACAACACCCATATGGATCTAGATTATTTCTTGATGATAACAGGTTTTAATTTTAGAAAATACTCCAAGAATCAAGTTGTAATCTCACTAAAAGAAAATGATTTTCTACGCATAGAGAGATGAGAGAGATGAAGGGATCCAATTCTAAGAACTAGTAAGAGAAGAGAGAGAAACTGCCTTTTTTTTTTTGGAGAGTGAGACGTGAAAGAGAGAAACTTTTTTGCAGGCTTGGAAGAAAAGTCTTTCACATATTAAATATGTATATTTCCCTAAAGATCTCATGGTTAGGTAAATAGAAGAATCTAGAATTAGATCCAATGGTTAGGAAATAAACACACGTCACAATCCAACCGTAGAGCTCCATTAATAAGGTGTTATTTCAGAAACACATTTTTCTTCTTTTTTAATTTTGGAACACTTTCTCAGCAGTCTCTCATCATAACACACATTTGATCAATCTGTCTATGTGTATCCTCTGATCTGCTATACATGACTTCTTCCCTGATGTGCATGTCATTAACTCGTCCTATAAATCTATCTAATCGTCTCTCCATAAAGTCCCTAACAAAGTCAAAAGGGATCAAACATGATAGGGCAGCGCAAAACTCTATTGTGACTTATAATTCACACACAATCATCTATTTCCTGTACTGTACCTCCCCCCCCCCAACTTAATGCAAGCAATACCATGAACTTATGTGAACTGTGCACTTAACCAACTATTCAAATGTATGGACAAAGATGACTAAACTAATTTAAACCCACAAAAACATGAAATTTTTTAACTAATGCATAAAAATTGAATAAATAAAAAGGAAGAAGATTAGGTTGTTCCCAACAATTGCTTGTTTATATTTAGCTTAACTTTGTTGTTTAGGCTATTTTAGATCATCTAGTGGCAGAACTATCTTCTCATTGGAATAGTCACCTCCCCAATAAGTTTTTAACCTCTGTCCATTGACCTTGGGTCACAACCTCCTTGAACCTTCGATGTTGATCTTGGGCCACCATCTCTTTGAACCTTCGATATTGATCTTGGGTCACAACCTCAACTGTGCCATATAGGTATACATTTACCACTTTGAAAGGACTTGACCTCCTTGATCTTAGTTTGCCTGGAAAAAGCTTAAGACGAGAATTGAACATGAGAACCTATTGCCCAACCACAAATTCTTTTTCTATAATGTGTCTATCATGCAATGTTTTAGTTTTCTCTTTGCACAGCTTTGCATTTTCCTGTGTCCCCAATCTAAACTCATCAAGCTCATTCAATTGAATGATTCCCTTTTTCCCGACTACCTTCATATCATAATTTAGCATGTGAGTAGCCCAGTATGCCTTGTACTCTAGTTCAACCGGTAACTGACATGTTTTTTCGAACACCAATTGATACAGAGATATCCCGATAGGAATTTTGAATGCATTGTGGTTTGCCCAAAGTGCATCATCTAACTTCTTTGACCAATTTGTATTTGATGCATTAACTGTAGCTTCTAGGATTTTCTTTAACTCTCTATTGGATATCTCAACTTGGCCACAAGTCTGCGGATGGTAAGGCGTTGCAACTCGATGTTTAACCCTTTGTTTTGCCAATAAAGCTGAGAATAAGTGGTTGCAAAAGTGTTTTCCTTCATCATTGATAATAGCCCACAGAGTACCATTTCTAGAAAAGATATTCTTTTTAAGGAATTGAGTCACAACCCTCCCATCATTTGTAGGTGATGCCATAGCCTCCACCCATTTAGACACATAATCCATAGCCACTAAGATATAATATTGACCATATGAAGAAGGGAATGGTCTCATGAAATCAATAGCCCAAGCATAAATTTTTTTTTACTTCCAAAATGCCATTAAGAGGCATTTCATTCGTTCTAGAGATGTTTCCTGTTCTCTGACAGTTATCACACTTACTTACTAACTGATAAGCATCCTTAAACAGAGTTGGCCAATGAAAACTTGATTATAAGACTAATGCTCCAATAATTAGTTCAGCTATTCTTCTAGTACACAATGACAAATGATTTGATCTGACCTTGTCTATAGAGAAATGGATCATCCCAAAAGTAGTACTTTAGATCTCTGAAAATTTTCTTCTTTTGTTAACTCAAATACTCTGGAGGAATAACAAAGCTGGCCTTGGCATAGTTGCATACCAAGGTCCTGACTTGATCTAAAAAGGTGTCCCGTCTGGAAACACTTCTTTAATTTCATCTGCAGGATCTTCTTCTTGTTCCTCCAAACGAGATAAATGGTCTACTACTAAATTTTCACTTCCTCTTCTATCCTTTATTTCCAAGTCGAGTTCCTATAGTAGAAGCATCCATCCGATAAGTCTTGGCTTTACATTCTTCTAACTGAGCAAATACTCGAGCACTCAATGATATGTATTTACTATTACCTTAGACCCAATCAAGAAAGGTTTGAATTTATCGAACACTACTGTCAAAAGCTCATTTTCTATAGTCGCATAGTTTAACTGAGCTTCATTAAGAGTTTTGCTGGCATAGCGAATACATGTAAAACTATATTCTTTCGCTATCCCAAAACTACGCCAATTGCGTAATCATTTGCATCGTACATCAATTCAAACCCTAAACTCCAATCAAGTGTAGTAAGATAGGGGTTGCAAACAACTTTTCTTTCAAGGTATTGAAGGCAACAAAACGCACCACTGAAAAGTAAAAAAGAACATCATTTTCCAATAAAATATAGAGAGACTTGGTTATTTTTTAAAAGTTCTTAATAAAGCGTTGATAGAAACCTGCATGTCCTAGGAAATTTCTAATTCTCTTCACTGAAGTAGGAGGAGATAGCTTCTCAATCATTTGTATTTTAGCTTTGTCGACCTCAATACCCTTAGCTGAAATCATATGACCTAAAACAATTCCTTCCTGAATCATAAAGTGGCACTTCTTCTCCCAATTAAGCCCAATACTTGCTTCTTCACATCGCTGCAATACCAATCTCAAGTGATTTAAACATTCATTGAATTATATACCAAATACTAAGAAATTATCCATGAATACTTCAATGCTTTTGCCCACTTTATCTGAGAAAATGGACATCATAAACATCTGAAAAGTTGCTGGAGCATTACACAATTTATAAGGTATTCTCCTATATGCAAAGGTACCATAATTGCAAGTAAATATGGTTTTCTCTTGGTCTTCTGGTACTATTGGAATCTAATTATACATTGAATACCCATCCATGTAGCAATAATGTGAATGTTCAGCAAGTCTCTTCAACATCTGATCAATGAAAGGAAGTAGAAAGTGATCATTTCTAGTGGCATTGTTGAGTTGGCGATAGTCAATGCAAACTTTTCGACCTGTTATTGTGCGCGCAGGAATCAACTTTTTGTTTTCATTAGGCATCAATGTAATTCCTCCCTTTTTAGGTACTACATGCACTTTACTCACCCAATCATTGTCAGATATAGGATATATGATCCCTATATCCAATAATTTCAGCACTTCTGCTAGCAAACCTCTTGCATCTTCGGATTTAATCTTCCCTAACGCTCTATAGATGGTGTAAACTCCTTTTCCATCAAAATTTTGTGCATGCAAAGAGAAGAGCTAATCCCTTTTAAGTCAGAGATGGTCCATCCTATTGCTGTTTTGTGATCTCGAAGTGCCCTTATTATTTGATCTTCTTTATCTTTATTGAGGACATTTGAAATAATTATTGGAAGTGTGTATTTGTATCCCAAGAAAGCATATCTCAAGTGTGAAGGCACCTGTTTAAGTTCAATAATTGGAGCTTTTTGAATAGAAGGTAAAGATTTTGTACGATCTTCACCTAGCTCCAATTGAGTCGATCTTAAAGAGGGAGAGTTTCCTCCCAATTGCCAAACACATTCTTTTATCTTTTCTAATTTAGATGGCTCTTTTACAGAATGAACCAAGCAAGCCTCAAGCAGATTTTGAGGGTGATTGAGTCTGAATGTAACTGTCATTGTCATGTACAATACATCAATCTGGCAACAAGAGTTTGGTTCATCATCAAATTTGAGCGGGAAGACGTTGATAGTCATTTCTTTGTCATTCATTCTAAAGATCAACTGTCCTTTTTTGTACATCTATCGAAACTCTTCCAATAGCCAAGAATGGATGACCCAAAATGAGAGGGACATCCTCGTTTTCTTCTATGGCCAGGATAGCAAAGTCAGCTGGGAATATGAAATTGTTAACCTTCACCAAAATATCGTCAACAACTTTCCTTAGATATTTGATTGACTTGTCAGCTAATTACAACGTCATTGTAGTAGGTTTCACTTTTCCTAAACTTAGTTCCCTGAAAAGAGATAAATGCATCAAATTAATAGTTGCCCCTAAATCACACAAAGCTTTTTTATGTATTTGTTACCAATATTGCAAGAAATAGTAAAACTCCCTGGATCTTTTGCTTTTGGTGTAACTTATGTTGAAGGATTGCGCTGCATTCTTCATTCAGCATCATCGTTTCATCATCCTGCAGCTTTCATTTGTTCGATAATTTGTCCTTTATAAACATAGCATAACTGGGCAAAAGCTTCTGCAAACGGTATGTTGATGTGCAACTTTTTGAACACCTCCAAGGATTTTGCAAATTGTTTATCAAGCTTGTGTTTTTGTAGTCTTTGCAAGAATGGGACTAGAGGCAAGTATGCTTTGACAGGAATGGTTGTCTTAACCTGAGGACTGTCTACTATAGGTTTCTAAGTTTCTTTTGTTATTTTATCAGACTCATCATTGTGTTCCTCGCCCGTGGTATGCACCTTTTCTGTAGTGGCTGCTAGTCTTTTAACTGATATTTTTTGCAATTGAACTCCACTTCGAGTAGTGTTGGCCTATACCTGCTCTTCAGGATTTGTTTCTGTATTGTTATGTAGGGTTCCTTGAGTTCTGCTCGCTAATGTAGCTAGCATCTGACCCATTCGAGTTTCCAAATTTTTAGTCTTGACCATGTACTGCCCCAATAAATTCTCAACTGATGGCTTTCTTGGTTGCTGTTGCTGCTATTGTTGAAATTCCAACGGTTTAGTTTGAAAATTTTCTCCTTAACCTTTATTGTTAGCCCACTAAAAATTTGGATGAATCCTCCAACCCAGAATATGTGTTGGAGTAGGGGTTGTCCTGTTGCCTCTAAAAGTTTTGCGTATAATTAACTTCCTCAGGCCAGATTATATGTGTGAAGGCTAAATGACATCTTTTTGTAATATGATCTGCTCTGCACCTTTCGCAAATCGATTTCGACTAGTGTACTATGTTCACACTTTTCGTAAGGCTGTCTAATTTCTTTGTCAGTGTTTCCATTTGGACTACTAATGATGCAGTTATGTCAACATTGTGTAATCTTGCTGTCCTCCATGGCACTTTCCTGTCGATTGGCCATATAGATTGATTTTTTGCAATTCTCTCAAAAAGGTATAAGGTATTATCCAAAGGAATATCCAATATTAACCCTCCTGCAAAAGCATCGATGATGTTATGAAATTCAGATCTCAAGCCAGAAAGAATATGAAAATCTTTGATTTTTAAAAAATGTTTAAAGTGGAATACTTCTTGAAGTAATCCTTGATTCTTTCCCAAACTTCTGGATAGTTCTCGAGGTCATTTTGCTTGGAAGTATGGACTTTATTTCTAATATGATGGACTTGGGATGGCAGCAAGAATCTCAATGTGAACTTACGCACCATGTCATTCCATGAAAAGATGCTCCCATGAATTAGAGAATTTAGCCATTCTCCTGTACCCTCCTTTTAAAGTGTAAGGAAATAGGCATACTCAAAAGGCATCAACTGACATTCCTTCATGGTTGATCATATCGCGGAGCGTCAAGAAAGCCTAAATATGTTCATGAGGATTTTCTGTTGATCTCCTAGAGAACCTAATGTCTTGATGATTTTGAAATAAGTTGATAACGTTTGGTTTAATATGGAAGTTGGCTTGTCCAAAAGGTGGATATATAATAACCGGTTGCCCAAGAGATGGCACATGATTTATATAATCCCTTATTAAAGTTCTCCACGATTTGCCACTGTCCTTAACTGATCTGGCTGAGGCAGTGACAAGAGATTCTGAATCTGATTCTGATGTTGATTTCTGTCATTTCTCTAGCTTGTCTATGCTCTCTTCTTCATAGGAATAGGTTCGATCTTGTCCTGAAATAAAGTAAAATCGAAATAAAGTAAAACCAGAGACTTTATTCGTTCAATAAATAGCTTAAAACAAATAAAATAAATAAAAAACTTCAAATCTAAAAATAACTAATAAACTCAAATTAAATAAATTATTTTCCGACAATGACATCAAACACTTGTTCGTGCAAATCTCACAAGTATACATGATCGTTGGCAAATAATACGTGATAAGTAATGTGTATCATCCTACGAAGAATAAAATTTAATAGAGTGCACTAATTTTTAAATAGATTTAAAGTAAACAAACATAAGAGATCTGTGGTTTTTAGTTATTCTAAATTAATTTACTAAAATTTGAATATTGTATATGTATGGGATGAGTGTATTGGATTACGAATTTACCTATTATTATCTATTCCATTTCTCAATTATGCTGCTAGTTTCGTTCTTGTATTCTTGACAATCGATAATTCTGTTGTAATTAATTTTATTTTCCAAGACTAATTAATTCTATTCCAATTACGACTCGAATATATTCCTAGTCCGAATTCAAATGAATATAATGCATTCAATTTCACAATTATTTTAAAGATTGCACACGTGATAAATATTATTTCTAAAATTTGTTGTACATATGTTAATCTTGTAGTGTTCTAGACCTATTATGAGTCTCTTAGCACTACAACAAGTAATCATATATTTAATTGGTGATCAAATAATCAAATAATAAAATTAGCATGCAAGACTAATCAAGAATTGCAAAAGTTTAACTAAGCTACGTGTCTTGAATTAAAAATAAATAATAAAAAATTTCATCCTCATCCAATATGTGAAAAGAATTAGCTTAGCATAATGTTGGAATTAAATATATAATCATCAATTTTCAATGGTGAACTTAAAAAAAATTGTGTTTAATTTTTTATCTTGAGAAATTAGGTGAACTTAAAAAAATTCGATAAATCAGGTCATATTAGTGGTTTAAATAATTCAATAAATTAAAAATTTCTTTTTTTAGAGTTATTTTAATTTGTTATGTCCCTAAAATTATTGTGAATTACATGTGTTTATTCCTTTTTATTTCACGAATTGGAGAGAGATTCCCAAATTACCAAACAGGCCAGTAACAACCATGTGTGCAAGCCAGCGCGGAGTCAGAAAGAGTTGTTAGGGTGGGCTGAAGTTTAATTTTTTTTTTTCAATGAACTCGTATCATAAAAAATGTTTTATGCTGACGAGATTTAATGTAGAAGGTAAATCCCATCTGAATCATATTCTTCTTGAAAAATAATGTCATAGACACGAAGCTATAAACACTAATAAACATATAAAAAAAGGATTAGAACTTTAGAATGTGAAAAATAAAACATACCCACATTAAAACTCAAAACCGCAACAAGTAACAATCCGAGAATGTGTTCAAAGATAAAAACGGAAAATGCAGTTAGATAATTAAATCCATATGTTTTTCTTTTGAATGACTTGGTTTATACTACACATATAAAATACATATATGATATAAAGATAAAGCCGCACAAATACAGATTAATTGTTGAATATATCTAGAGGGTTTATGGAAAGAGTAGTAGCTCCAAAAATTCTCACAAAATTTGGAAATGCGAGAAATAATAAAGACTAAATGGAGCTCGAACCTTGGTTGCTTCTAGAAATAATGGAACTTGTGGGTGTAGGTAAGGGTTTTGAATTAGGTTGGTTGGGTTTGGGTCCTTTGGGATGCAACAGGTTTGAGGGAAATAAATTGGTATATGGGCTATACAAATATTAGATTTAAACTTGATCCATTTAAGTTGGGCTAAAGTGGGTATATATTGAAGGGAAAAATCATAAACCAGGCTTTAAGTATGGCTACTTCAAATATCAGGCCCAAAGTTCTAAAATGCAAAAATCAGGTTTCTGTTAATTAGTTAAGAATATTTTATTAATCAAGTATATTAAGATCACATATATACGATTCATGGTCACAGATATGTACTTAAAGGTCACAATGTCACATATTATGAAATTACTTGGTCACAAATTTTTTCATCGGTCACAGATCGAAAATATTATACGTTACAATTTTTTTTGTCGGTCACAGATTTTCAAATTAGTTGGTCACATATTATTTTTAAGTCACAAGTTATTGAATTTTTAGATCACAGTTTATTTGTCCATCATAGATTTGGTCACATATTATAACATTTTTTTGTCACAGATAACCAAATAACTGGTCACAAACCATCAACATCGCACCCACAACATCAACATCATACCACCATCACCACCATCGCACCACCACCACCACCACCACTACCCCAACACCGCACCACCACCACCATAGCATCAACACTGCCAAAGGTACCGTACACAGTACCAGCAACACCACCACACATACCATCACCAGCAGATCACACCAACCCGTTACAGACTCGCCACTACCGCTAAATCCACCGCACCACCATCAACATCGTCCACCACCGGTCCACCATTAACACCATCAACATCTGCGACTTTTACCTTTCAATGTTCGGCAACGCAACTGGTCACGATTCTTGCAACAAATTGTCATTCAACGTTCTGCAAAATCGATTGCCATCTTCGATCTGAAAAGAAATGGCACAACACATCTTTTCGACGACGATTCTTCACCCAGCGATGCTGTTAAAATTATTGGAGTTTAGAGGATTGGGTGGAGATATTTGGCCGCAGAGCTTCTGGTCGACGATGACGGTGGACGGCGACAACGGGAAATGATTGCCGGAATGGTACAGACGGAAGAGAGAGGCGAGGGTGTGTTTGAGCGAGAGAGGAATATGAAATGAAATGAATTAGGGTTTTAATATATAGGGACCTGATTTGTGCACAATGAAACTTCATCCCAGACTTTTGAATTGTGATCTTTAAGTACCTGGATTTATATAATTTCCACAATATTGAATAGGGTAGCTAGTGGGCTAACATTAAATTTGGGCTGAGCAATAATATTTTTGGACAAAATTTACAAGCATAATTTCTTTATGGACCGAGGCTGCACTGGGCTTTATAGGGTAGCTAGTGGGCTAAAATTAAATTTGGGCTGAGTTATAATTGTTTTGGACAAAATTTACAAGCATAATTTCTTTATGGACCGAGGCTGTACTGGGCTTTTAGCCCAGTACAACTACCCCCTACATCCGCCCATGGTGCAAGCAGCAATCTTCCATGTCCAGTAGTCACTATGTCCATTAGAAGCCCATTATCATTGTTGGTCACATTGGCAGTTGTGTTTTAAAACCCGACCCATACCAGACCGGCCACCAATTAGCTTCTTATTGCTCTATCTGAGTAGTCAACCAAAAAATTAAAAAAAAAAAAATTCGATCACATGGGTTTTAGTGAAAAATCGCTAATCTAAACCCAGTAACCCAGTGGATCATTGCTAATTATATTTTGGGAAAATTGCAGTCGAGATACCAAACATTTCGTTTATTAGTAGATTTTGTCCAAACCTTTCACTTGTGCCACTGGAGGTACCAAACATTTCAAAAATCTGCACCTGAAGTCCAAATGGATGGAAACCGTCCATTTAACCGTTAGTTGACTAATAAAATTAAACATTGACCAATTTTTGACCAATTAAAAATGGTAAAAAGGTAAAAGTTATTTAATCCTATAATAAAACAATTAAAATAAATAACTAAAAAAATAAATACTATTCATCTCCTTCTTCACCCACGCCACCCACGCCACCCTACCCCCACCCCATCCAAACCAAAAACAGAAATTAAACAGCCGCCTTCTTCTTCAACCTCCCCGCCGCATCGCACCCCACCCCACCATCAACCCAAACCGAAAATTGACCCACCATCAAAAAGATTAAGAATGCATGAAGCCGAGTTTTTGAAGCTTCACGTTGTTGTGAAAGAACCAGAAAGAGGTATAAAATTTTGCCAAAATTTTTGTCAATTTCTTCCCACCCAATAAAATATGGGTCTTCGCTTTACTTTTAGGCCAGATTTTGGAATTAAATTTTGTAATATGTTCGGGTTGAATCTTTATTAATTTAAATCACGTCTTTGCCAGAAACGTCTCATATGCAATCAAGATTCATGTTTTCGTTTAAAGGCTAGTACGCGAACAGTTTTCATATAGTGTAGGCGATGTCAAGACTTAGAACTCGAGGGTTTTTGCCCCATCAACCCAAACCCAAAACAGCCGCACCACTGTGGGGTGGGGTGGGGTGCGATGGGGTGGGGAGATTGAAGAAGAAGGTGGCTGTTTAATTTCTGTTTTTGGTTTGGATGGGGTGGGGGAAGGGTGGCGTGCGGGTGGAGGTGGGGTGGGTGAAGAAGGAGATGAATAATATTTTTTTTTGTTTTAGTTATTTATTTTAATTGTTTTATTAAAGGGTTAAGTAACTTTTACCTTTTTATCCTTTTCAATTGGTCAAAAATTGGTCAATGTTTAATTTTATTGGTCAACTAACGGTCAAATGGACGGTTTCCATCCATTTGGACTTCGGGAGTGAATTTTTAAAAGGTTTGGTACCTCCAGTGGCACAAATGAAAGGTTTGGGCAAAATTTGTTAATAAACGAAATGTTTGGTACCTCGACTGCAATTTTTCCTTAAATTTTTCAAATTTTATTTAGCATTTGAACAGTCATTTACCTCTTTAGGCTTTAATTTTTCACTCTTTTAATTGCTTTTTTTTTCACTGTTATTTTTTTTTCTTACGTGATTTTATTATTTATTTATTTATTTATCTTTATTTTTATTTTTAACTTCACCTTCAAAATCTTTAATTTTCCTTAGTTTTGGAGCAAAGCTAGGAGAAAAATTAGGATTAATTCAATAAGTGTTATAAACTAGAGAGGAAAAAGAGAGAAAGCTAGAGAAATTAACAGACTTGTGTATATTATTAAGAATCAATACCTATATTTATAGAGTTTAAAATAAGAGCTATAATTGGAATGAAATATAACTTCTATAATAGATAAGACTTATTTATTTATCATGAAAATACTAAATAATCATCAATAATTATCTCATTATTTTACAATACTCCTCATTTGATGATTATTTGTACAACTACATCATTGAAACAATTTATAGCCCCATTGTCGTAGTTGAAAGTAGGAGTCTAATTGTCTTCAATCTTCCAATCAATTCCAACCTCCTCAACCAATTAGGAGTCCTAAAGTAAGAATTCAATTCCTTTTCAATTTCAATCCTATTGCAAGTCCAATTACAAAGCCCAACAAAGTATCAATTTCCCTTCAAGGCCCCACTGCATTTAAAATAGCGCAATTCAATCATTGAGTGCAATTATTTGTGCAATCAATATCCTTCTCAAATTCTAACTTGTGGGATTTGATCCCAATATTATAGATTTCATTCGATTTTGTCCTTTTTCCTTTCCAATTGTTTCAAACGAGTCCATCAATAAAAAGAAAAGAAAATTAACCCAATTTAAAGTAGAAATTAATAATTTGATGACATAAAAATTTTGTAATATAATCTAAATAAATGAATAAATTGCACTTATCAATATGTCACATAAATTCCAAACACTTCCTCGAGATTGGGTATAAAGAAAATGGGGAAGTGATCGGTCAACTATTAGAAAAAGTGGACAAGTATAGTGAAGTTGTGCTCTAACTGTACAGTGAGTATGAAATGAAGTGAACTAGAACATTTTGGAACTTAAAACTTATAAAAGATCTCGATATGTACGAGATCAATCACTTTTATACAAAAAGTTTATACGTTCTTTCATCAAATTATAGGGTAAATACATTACTCAAGTTTAATCACATGAATTTTATTCAACTGGATAACTACACTATAATATAATTTCACAATAAAAATTATATTTTAATCTAATTTCAATTTAAGGTAACTTTGTCCAATATTCCACTAACAATAATTGATGACATGACCATCAATAAATGATGGTTATTACACATGATTACTAGTTGTTGATATGAAATAAGCCATTGTTTGAATCTCATTCTTTAAAACTTATTTTTTCTCGATTTCTTTTCAACAACACATTCTTTTAATAAAATTATTTTACACTTAAATTCAGAACTTCCTTAATTTTTAATCATATATTTTCCAAAAAATTATTTTTTACAAAATCTATTCTTAAAAAAGGGGCTTTGACAGGCTATAAATGACCTTTATAATTTATTAACCATTAAGTCATCGATGGAATTATTGAAAATTAAATAAAACTATAGTTACTCAGTTAAACTAGGGTAAAAGTATAAGAATAATACTATTTATACATAATGGAGTCATGTAATGGTTTACATAGTGTAAAAAAAAAACTGGATTTTTTTTTTTTAGAAGTTCTGATCAAATCATATCTTATCCCATCATAGATTGAATGAAATCACTCTGAAATTATCTTATATTATCTTCCAATCAATCACTATAAAGCATCGGAGGGAGAATGGACACTACCCCATATTATCTGTCCATATGGTCAATTTCAATCAATCCTTTACAAAGCACTTTAATATAACCAGCCGTCACATTAGGACTCTCCGAAATCATTTTTTGTCTGGTTCGAATCCTAAATGCCATATGTTCTTAGTATCCATCGAAATCTAGTCATTGGACACGTCCCTTTGTCCTTTCCATTCTGCCCCGAATAATTTTTTACCCCTAGACCGGTTGATCTATAACTTGCAAACCAAATTACACCTCCATACACAGACAGTTTCAATGGAGTTGATAACAAATTCAGATGATCCAGTTCTTTCTAAGCTACAACTAGCATGTTCCGATATCAAAACCCTGCTCCATAATTCGACCAGCCTCGAAAAATGCTTAGAGAAAATGGATGAAAATTTCGATGCCATACAAGAAAACGTAACAGTGGCATCAAGAAGAGTAGCACCTTTACAATCACTGTCCATTGGGGCTAAAGCTCTCGAAACTAGAATAAACCGAGCCATTTCTCCGGCTCTTGCACTTCTCGACAGCTTCAAACACTCCGAGTCCCTCCAGCGTAGGCTTCTTGACATAGCTTCGAAACTACTGAACGAGAAAACTTTGAAAGACAGGCTCAAAATGTTGATCAAGTATGTGGACTGCGTTGATGAATTGAACATCTCCTTGACTTCCATTAGCCAAGAGAGTGAGCCAGCAATTCAAAAACTGCAAGAAGTGGTTGAGTATTTGAGCAGGACTAAAGCCACTGATCAGTACAGAACGCACCGTTTGAGGGAGACTTTGATTACTCTGAAAGTGCTATACGAGACAGAGGTCGATTCAATGAGATTTGATGGGCTTCTTGATGAGGCCTTGTTGAATTTGCAAGATGAGTATGAGAATTTGTTACAGCAGTTAAGGCATCAGAATATGGGGGATGATATGAATGAAATGGTGCCGGAGAAGCTGGGTACTGAACTGGAGCTCAAAGTTGTTAGACGAATTTCAGGGACATTGGCTGCAAATGATTGTCTTGATATATGCATTGACATCTTTGTGAAGGTAAGAACAATACTAACTCGTATGAACAATATTGTGCCTAAAGTTTTGTCTATTTAATGCACATGAATTCGAATCCCTCGTACTTATCATCTATATTTTTCACAACCAGACTCGAATCTCAGTAAAGTAGGAGTTTGGGATCGGCTCACAACCAGCATAAAACCTAGTCAAATCTTGTGATATGAATATAATATGATTGAGAATTTGGTATGGTTGGTCATCCTGGTGTGGTTAAAATTAGTTGTCGACCTTAACTTAGATTAAGATCTAAATTTTAATTTCTACCGAACAGGATTTAAATAAATCAGTTAATATCGTGAGATTGATATGCATTTTTCAAAAAAATCAAGAATCACCCAATATGATACTCACTATTGATAGACAAATCAGTTCGGAAAGAACTATATGACAGTACTACTATCTGTTTGACGTTAATTGAATTATGGAGTAATTATGTGTTATTTTTGCATTACTATTGTTAGGATTTGGGGTCTATCTTAATAAGGTCAACCTTGTTAAGAGGAGTGGTCCTAGATCTATTTAAGTTGTCAATATTTCGGTATTTAACCGATGTTGAATTTATTCCTTTAACATGCCCCGTAAGATGATGGCTCTTTTTGAGCAGACCAATCTTGAAATTCGTATGCTCATTTTTTAGACTTAATCGAATTGAATAGATCGTTGGAGCTTACTGGGCTCTAATACCCTGTTAGGATTTGAGGTCCATCTTAATAAAGTCAATCTTGTTAAGAGGAGTGGTCCAAGATTTATTTAAGTTGGTCAATATTTCGGTATTTAACCGATGTGAGATTTATTCCTTTAACAACTATTGAGAGTCAACATGTGATTATTTATAGGGTTTTTTCTGGTAATTTTTATTTTTTTCCCAAAAGCTCCGATGGTACACTTTTCTCTGTAATATTTAACAGGTGAGATATAGAAGGGCAGCCAAAGCATTGATGAGATTAAGCCCGGATTACCTGAAAACTTGCACTCCAGAAGAAATTGATGAAATGGAATGGGTAAGTTTGGAGACTGCAATAGCTCTTTGGATCCAACACTTTGAACTTGCTGTAAAAGTAGTTTTTGTGACCGAGAAGGACTTGTGCAACCAAGTACTGGGAAACATAATGGAAGGAATGGTATGGCCCGAATGTTTCGTTAAGATTGCTGATAAAATCATGGCTGTCTTCTTCCGATTTGGAGAAGGAGTTGCAAGAAGTGACAAAGAACCCCAGAAGTTATTTAAGCTTTTAGACATGTTTGATTCATTAGAAAAGCTTAAACCTGAATTTTCCGAGATTTTTGAAGGTGAAGCAGGAGCTGATATTTGTTCTCGATTCAGAGAACTCAAGAAACTCCTTGTCCATTCATCGACTAAGGTCCTTTGGGAGTTTGGGCTTCAAATCGAAAGCAATCAAGATGGTTTGCCTCCACCTCATGACGGTTCAGTTCCTAAACTTGTTCGATATGCTATCAACTACCTCAAAAACCTTGCCGTGGATAGTTATAGTGCACCAATGGCACAGGTACTCAGGACTGATCAATTATGGAAAGCTGGCATACTTTTGACTCCCGAAACTGATGAAATTTTACTCAAAGATGCCATTTCCAATGTCATGGAAGCGATCCAAAGGAACATCGAAACCAAGAAATCACTTTACAAGGACAAAGTACTCCCTCACATCTTTGCAATGAACACGTATTGGTACATTTACATGAGAACACGAAACACAGAACTTGGGAAGCTATTGGGAGAGCAATACATGAAAAAAAGGTATAGACATGTTGCCGAAGAATCCGCTTACTTATACCAGAAGCAAGCTTGGGGGACTCTTGTGAGATTGCTTGACACAGAAGAAATTAAGAGAGCCAATAAAGATGGCATTGGAGTTCTAATAAGAGGGAAAATGGATGCTTTCATGGATGGATTTGATGAGATGTGTCAGAGGCACAGAAGCACTTACAGCATTATTTCTGATGCAGATTTGAGAGAACAAATGAAAGAAGCCACTGTTACGCTTGTGCTGCCTGCATATACTGAGTTTCTCAACAACTATTCTTCATTTTTGGAGTTTAAGTCTAATATGTCACCAGAATTACTCAACGATTTATTGAACCAGATTTTTGAGGGTGTTGATCAGGTAGCTGATGGCAAGTCGAATCTTCATCGATGGAGCTCGAGTGATCTTAAACATAGTAGGAGATCATTGATTGATCAAACTCATGAAAGCAAAGATATTCCATGATCCCAATCCTCCAGATTTGAAATTATGGATTGTACAAGTAAATACTCAATACACAAGTCTTTAAATCAGAACGATTCATGAAGTGTTAAGCATTGTATCACTTATCCTGTAAAACTCATAAATGAAGATGGTACTGTTGGCATTTCACCTTCATCAAATACATATTACAGTCCTGTAAAAGTTTACTAACAAATGGATCATTTCAGGTAGAACTTTACGAATTTATAAATTGGAACAGCTTAAACATACATCGAATGTTTGCCATGTTGGACTTGACAGGATCAGAGAGCATAAAAGGAAAATTTGTTCCTTCTCTTGAGGCTAAACTGGATGTAATTGTTTGAGAAATACTCTTTAAATGCAAGGGGAATTCATTTTTCGGTGCACAATTTACAAATAAGGAAGTGATAAGGTTTGAATTCAAGATCTTTACCTTGTCCAAAAGCTTAAGATGTTAGTAAAGAGAATACATCTCGGCAAATACAAAATAAAACAAAGAGAAAACTAAAGATCCAATATCAGATTACACAAAATCTGCCTGAAGAAACTGGCACGCCATTCTTCATCCAGGCTCAGTTGAAGCCCCCAATCTAGCAAACCAGTACCAATCCAAAACCTTGTAGCCAAAGCGAACCACCATTTGAGAAGAATCCTCGAATCAGAGAAAAACACTCCCAAGAAACTCAGGGTTTTACCCTGAAGGACCACTGGAACTTCTCCCTTATTTGTCAAATGAAACCATAGAAAAATATCACTCACACCTTAGAAAACCACATCACTAGTAAAAGAGAAAATTGGAGAAGAGATGAAGATGAAAAGAGAGAACATGCCAACACACACCCCAGAGTCAGTCCAAACTACCCTATACAAACAAATAATGCTATCTAGCACCAATGGTGCAACTCTCCAGTCTATGTGGCATTACTCTATAGAGACTAGTGAGGCATGTTTCTATTGAGTACAAATGGCTCTCCCTGATTGGTATTCATTGCCAACACGCTAATTGAAAAAGCATGCTTTCATCAATTGTAGCAAAGGCGTCCAAATGAACACACTTTAAAATCTTCACCTTGGTTTACTGGTTACAGAGGCGGTTCAGTATCTTGTGCTTTGAATTTGAGGTGCTTCAAGCATCATTGCGCATGTGTGTACATGCAGGAAAAAAATTAACCACTGTAAGGGTGCTTTGATCATTTTTGGATTAGCCTCTATCCCTCTTGGATTAACCATATAGCCTAAGAACTTTTTTGATCCTACTCCAATTGCAACTTTAAATGGCTTCAGCTTCATCCAGTATTTTCTTAGAATTTCTCTTGGTTCTTGACATGATCTTTAGCTATTGTCTGACCAACAGGCTATCCACATACACTTTCAAAGACTTTCCAATCAATTTAGAAAACATCCAGCTTTCCAACCTTTTGGTATGTAGCCTCAGCATTCTTTAGCTTGAAAGACATCACCTTTCAGCTATAAATAGCCTCTATTCATGATAAAAGGTATGGTCCTCAATGGGCCTGACCTTGGGGATTTAATTGTATATTGAGTATGCATCTATGAAGCTAGGTTCATGATTAGCGGTAGCATCCACTAATTGATTGATCCGAGAAAGATGGAAACTATCTTTAGGACCCACCTTTTTCAGATCAACTTATCCACTCCTTCTCTATCTTGTGCATTAGGAAGGGGGCAAACTACTTTAGGTTAGTGGGCCTCCTTGCAAAGCCATTGGTAATGACCTTGTCCACTTCTTCTTCTAGGGTTGCAGTCCTTTTCGGTTCAATCGTCTCTTCTTTTTATGGTGAAGCTTGCCCTTGGGGTCTACCCTTAGCGTGTGGCAAGAAATATTGGGATCAACGTCCCCTACATCTTCATGCTTCCATATGTCAAGGTTCTTCCTCAAGAATCAATTTAGCTTTTCCTTGACTACAGGGAGAGCTTGCTTCTTTGGGGTCAATCGGGAAGCTCTCCAACTCTTTAACAATGGTGGTGATAGGATACCACTTGAAAGAACAAATTCAAATATTGAATAAGTGACTTTTGGATTGAAAAAGGACGATTACAGAAATTAAAAGAACAATTCTAAGCGTTCGAGAGGCTTAGATCTCTCCCCCTAACTCATCAACTAATTCTTTGCATGAAATCTCCCCAATCCATCCCCTATTACATTTATAGGCAACTTATCACACCATTATTCCCCAAAATACCCTGCCCCTAACCGAATCTATTCTAACTGAATAAGTTTCTCAATTCTTCTAGGTCCTTCCATGTTGATAGGAGTCTATCATTACTCGCCTCTTGAAATCCACCTTGTCCTCAAAGTGGAAGCCACTTCAAAATCCGAAACCAATTTTGGAGTAAGCTTGTTGTAGCTATTAACCCTTCTAGTCAATCCACCCCATACAATTAAAATGTTATCCATAAAAATTCCATAACCTATAGAAGGAATTCCTAAGGGTTTAGTCAGGTTTGAAATGTATGCATTAATCTCATTCTTAGTTGGGTTGTAATTTACTTGGACTTGATTTGTGAATTCATTTCTCTCTTTTCCCCATTGGCCCAACTCCAAACTAAGGCCCAATCTCTTAAGTTTTAACATCACCTTCTAGTCAATCCACCCCATACAATTAAAATGTTATCCATAAAAATTCCATAACCTATAGAAGGAATTCCTAAGGGTTTAGTCAGGTTTGAAATGTATGCATTAATCTCATTCTTAGTTGGGTTGTAATTTACTTGGACTTGATTTGTGAATTCATTTCTCTCTTTTCCCCATTGGCCCAACTCCAAACTAAGGCCCAATCTCTTAAGTTTTAACATCCTACCCTCAGCCTCTATTATGGAATTCAATCCATTAAGAAAATTACCTTCCTTACATTGATACCATACCACAACTTCTCCATCCAAATAGATTGCAGCTGTCTCCCTCTCCTTCCGATCCAAGAACGCATTAGTTTTGGGATCCTCTCGTTTGAAACTCGGCACTTCCAGCTTACGAATTTGATTAGCAAATTTCCACAGTTCTTCAT